GTTCTCAGGCCTTTTAGACTCAAGGCACCTCTTATTAGATTCAAAGTACCCCCTATTAGACACTAGGCTCACCTCAGAAAATGCCAGCTCTTAGCTTTAATTCATGTTTTGACTATGGAAAAAAAAGTAGAGGGATTCTTCCATTGGAAAGAATTCAAAGTCCACAACAGGTCAGAATGTTTGTGATGTTACGGATTTACCTGAAATCTCTGGTTTTATTCTGCAAATCATGTGTACATGTTTGCAAACCTAACAGTGGCAATACTGTATGTCACCTTTAAAAGGATCTCACAGCACCCTGAAAACAGTGATTCTTATTAAGTCATTATTAAACAGGTTTCATAGTAGTTTGGGGTCAGAAGGGACCTGAACAGATCATCTAGCCTGACCCTCAAAGCACTGTAAGATGCACTATTGTTACAGAGGGGGATTACTGAAAGGGATGGAAAAGTGGTATTTTAACCTACTATCAGTGAAATTCATTGCATATTGCCTGCTTTCTGCCATTTGGTAGTTTTTGTTGCAAAGGTGGCTCAAGTTTAAGATCAACTAGTGATTTTGGTTGCCTGAAAATCTTTAAAATCCTTAAGGATCCTGAAAAATGGCACATCTAGGGCCCCGTTTTTCAAAAGGTGTGCTCAAGGCAGGTGTTCAAAAACTGACCACAACTCAGCTGGCCAGCAGGAGTTGCAGACACTCTGGAAGGTAGGGTGACCATTCAGAATTACTTCAGTTAATGTCAAACCATTTTTCTAGTCTACTGAATGCAATTCAAGAAGGACACCTGCAAAGTCTAGCACTTAAGACAGAACAATCACGTGTACAGATACAGCCTGGGAGATAGCTGGCTAGGCTGCATTACTGTACTACAGAAAAGGACCTGGGGGATATAGTGGACTGTAAGCTGAACATGAGCCAACAGTTCTCTTTTTGTAAAAAGACCCAATAGCATACTGGGCTGTATTAATAATAGTGTTGTCTGCAAGTCAAAGAAAGTGATTCTTCTGATCTATTCAGCACTGGTGAGGCCTCACCTGGAGTACTGCATTCAGTTTTGTGCTCTGCACTTCAAGAAAGAAGTGGACAATGCCCCATAGGGCAGCAAAAATGGCAAGAGGTCTAGGAATCATGATTAATGAGAAAAGATTGGAAGAACTGGAATTATTTAATTGGGAAAAGAGAAGACTTGGAGAAATTGAAATATCTGAAGGTTGGTTATGAAAAGGATAAAAATTGGCTCTTTGTGACTGCAACAGACAGGATATGGGGTAAATCTCAAATTAAACAAGTGAAATTTAAGCGTCAGGAAGAACTGTCTCACTATACATTTGATTAAGCACTGGAATAGATTACCTGAAGAGATTGTAGATGCTCAGCTGTGGACCCAGGCAGGAGGTGCTGCCCTGCCAGGTGGTGGGCAATGTCAGAACCTGCCAGCAGTGTCACAGCTGACACTCACCTGATGCAACAGCAGCTCCTGCCTGGGTTCACAGCTGAGCATTGGGCTCCTGGCAGACTAGAGCTTTGGCTGGGTTCTTGGGGGAGAGACTACGCCACACACCGGGTGCAGCAGCAGCTCCTGCCTGGGTCCACTGCTGATGCCGCCAGCAGGTTCCGGATTGGGGCTCCAGACGAGAGCTTCTACCATGCGGGGTGGGCGGTGGGTCAGCTGTAGATATCCCTGGAAGGTTCTGCATCCTGGCTCCTGAACCTTCCTGTGGCATCCACAGCTGATGCCACTGCCTGCCTGCTGCAACAGAAGCCCTGCCTGAGTCCACAGCTGATGCCTGATGCTGCTGGGTGGAAGTAGTCCCACCCATACACCCACTAGGCACCATGTGGTGGCCAGAACTGCTGGCCACCAGTGGGCCAGACTGAATCTGTTGGTAGGCCAGATCCAGCCCACAGGCTGCATTTTGCCCACCCCTGGGTTAGACAAACCTTGCAGATGGTTTAGACAGGGATGACCCTTGCCCTGAGCTGCCTGAGGTCCTTCCAGCATTATTTCTCTACTATTTTCATCTATGACTTGCATAGAAATGGACCCTAAACACAATATCTGGATTAGGGTTGAGAATCCAGTTGTTCTTCCTCTTCATGAAGTACATAGCCGTCAAATGCTAATTTAGGCCAATGTCCATTATGTAGTGAACAACCTATGGCTATTAAAAAGCACACGCAGCAGGCACTAGGTAGAAGCCACAAGGATTAAGGTTGCAAAGCATTTCCCACAAACAACTTTTTCCATATGCTTATAAAAAGTGTTCTTATGTTGGGGTTTAAGTTCTACATAACTGGCATCTGTCAAAAATTGTTGGTTTGTTGTTTGTTTGTTTTTTGGGGGGGTGGGGGAAGGGTGGTTTGTTTTTTGTCACATATAAAAGGCTTTAGTAAAATCCATTCAGGAGTTTTCAGTGGGAAAATGAAACAAGACTTACATTTCTCAACTTGCATTTCCCCATTGTAGAACATTTTAACCACTTTGTTTGCTATAGAAAAATTGGTTGAGAGTCGATGCTTGGCATAGTCCTCTGTTTTAACAATTTGTACTTTTGGTTTACATTTGATCAGAGGGAGGGGAGGGGAAATTAGGGACTGGGAGAGAAGGAAAATAAGGGGAAAAGTAATAAACAAATTACCTGTAAAATACTTCATTAGGAACAGGAGAAAGTCATTGGTGGGAAAAAAATGCCAGTTCAGGAAGTTAAGGTTTGCCTGAAGTTCCTTCCACATGTTTCAAGATTCTGAAAACTTATAAAGTTAGCATTAAAACAGTATTAAGTTTCTAGGTTTTAGATGCCAAAGGAAACAAGAAGACTATAGAGAACTGTCTCCAGACCAGACAGACAAAGTTGACACCTCACCCTTCCCTTCTACGACCAATTAAAATAATTTAAGTCCAAATACTGAAGTAAAGGCAATTCTCTCTCTCTCTTTAAAGAAAGGCAATTAAATGTAAAATAACCCTAGATTAAGTTAAACTCCCAAGGAGAGCCTTGAAAAGAAGAGTTAAAAGGCAGCTCTCAGTCAGACTCAGTATATTTTTTCCCCTTACTTTCTAGCTTAAAGTGTGTACCTGAGTTTTTTACTGTCTGGATTTCAAAAAATACAAAATAAAATAAAGGATGTGCAGTATAGTGAGCTCAAATTTAACAGTGAAACCTTAATACTACATACACATTCATGTGAGGTTTTTGTTTGTTTGTTTCTTTGAACACCATTATACACATGAGCATTTTGAGGTGAAAAGAGCTCTATCATTGCAAGATCATCATTATCATCTTTTCTTCTTCCTTTCTGCAGACAATGTCAGCTTAAGCTTTCGGCAACCTTAATAGAATTTCAGCGGCCATTGCCAAATGGCCATTTGATGTTCTGCTCTGTGTACACAGATGAAGCAATCTGTCACAACCCTTAATGCAGGCTATGACGACTCTCCAATCTAAAGCTTTCACATGCCTATAGAAATTTCTCAAGACTTTTGGAGCCTATAATAATTTGTGCACTACCGCAGAAGAATTTGGAATCAACCAAAGTCTAGTATTTAATGAGATATGAATATATGCTTTTAAATGTTTTAAAAAGGAATCATACTTAAGCCAAAGGCAGTATTTAAAGCCATCAATCACTCGAAAAGTTGGACCAGGAGACTCCAAAAATACTGAAAGTTACAGTCATCAGAAATGTCATTACAGTAGGTAAAAAGCAAGCTCCCCAACAAGAGGCTTACCACAATCACCCTCCTGCACCAAGTTAATGCCTGTGGCACTCAACTCTTCACCTTTACCTCAGAAACCACAAAGGCTATTGGGTTATTTGCATATTCCCTCAATTTTTCTAAAGATGAGAAAGAACCTACATTTAAAGAAGGCAGACAGTCTTTCCCCTTAATTCGATCCATGTAACAGATACAAGTGCTGTTGACCTTCTAGATGTCATGGAAAGTACCTTTATAATGAATCAGGAAGATGCAGTTATCCTGAAAACCTATGCTCTTACTACGTTTCCAAGCAGCCACCAGACAAACCCATTTACTATTAAAACTTGGAAAGGGGGGAGGAGGGGGTCATTTCCTCTCCTTTGTTGAAAGGAAAAAAAAACCCACCTCTTTGCAGGACCATTTGCATACTGAGCTGTCAGACCATGCACTTTCCATTAAAGAGATAGCATCCCTTTTCATAAGTCCATTTGGGATCCATTTTAGCGTTATCTAAAAATCAAATCTACATGGTAATCCTTTTAATGTACTCTTGACTTTTAAAAACAGCTTTATGTTCCTTCAGGAAATGTTTTAAGCCATTACTCAGTAATTACCATTCACCCATGAAAACACTGATCTTTTACAATATATAATCAGTTTGCTGACTTAAAAATAAAGCAGTCTGGAATTTCATCTCATGAAAGTAGTGGAGGAAAACCAAGATTACTAGAGGAAAATAATTTTCCAAGCAGCCAATATATATCAAAAGTGATGTGTTTCTCTCTTGTACATTAAGGTTCTGTCTCCCACACCCACTCAAGTTACCTTCAAATCTCCAAATGCAAATGAATGTGGAAATGGTGCATATATAGAGGTCAACAACAAACAAACAGAGACAGACAGACAACAATTTTCCCCAACTGAATAAACAAAAAATGTGGCACCTAAGATGCAACTGTGCTTTAACTATCTATAAGTTTTAAAAGTGGCGATCATGGCAAAATATTTGCCAACCGGTTGAGGGGACTGCATAAGTTAAGCAGAGAAGCAATATTTCTAAAAATAAAAAGGTATAGGATTTGCAAAACCACATTAGATGATTTTTGCCACACACAGCTCCAACTGAAATTAGTGAGAGTTACATGGCTAAATCTCCCACACCGGTTTAAACAAAAAAAAAAAAAAAATCTCAGTTTCATTATATATATATTTTTTTACCAATTAGTTGTGTAAGAAATGTATATATGTATATATACACATACATACCAGGGCCATGCGAAGCTTCGGGTGCAGATTCATTTTGGAAGAGATTCAGTGGCTGAATCTCTGAACCTGAATCAAAATGGGAGATGAATAAGAAGCTCCGAATAGATTCAAGCTCTTCGAATCAATTTGGAAAAGATTTGGCGTGCTTCGGAGAGCTTCAGAGACTCAGGTGGTTCCCACTTGCCACCGCAGGGAGCTGGACCTGGACTCCGTGCTGGTAGGCAGGGGTTGGGGGAACCCCCACTAGGCCCCAGCCCCTCTGAGCACTCCTCCCGACCCCCGGCCGCTCTCCCAGGCCCATCAATGGCTGCCCCACCTGGCCCCCAAGTCCCAGCTCTTTTTTTCTTTTTTTAAAGAGCCCTGTACTCATGAGCTGCTGCTGTGGCTGTCGGGGCTTCTGGGGGCTCGTGGCAGAGTCCCCCACACAGCACAGGGCAGTGGGGGGCAGTGGGGATGCCCCCCCAATGAGTTGGGGGTTTGTTTGTTTGTCTTTTTTAAAAGAGTTGGGACGCTAGGGGATGAGGCCTTCTTAAATTTGGGGATTCAGCCGAATTGATTCGGGACAGTGATTTGAATCACCAAATCAAATCTCTGTCCCCCAAATCAGCTGAATCCAAATCCAAAGTGAATACTAGTTGTTTAGCACAGGCCTAATACACACACACGTCACATCACATTCTAGAGTTGTAGGAACAATTTAAACCTGGAATGAGTACAACAGAAGTTACTGGCTTACTGTCTGCACTATGAATAAACAGAGTTTAGCCACTCTTCAGGGGCACTAGATTCACCTCAGAACCCTTCAAAATGATCTCCATTACCTGTGGTAGCACTTCACTGCTGGAATATATATATATAGAATGATAGTTCCAAAATAGTCCATTAGTGTCCTTCAAAAGAAGCCTGCAGCTGGTTGGGAGGGAGCAGGGAGAGTTTTAGCCCATCAGTAAGTCAATGCCTACAGCACATGTAATTAAGCAAATGGAAAGGTGTCATTGTTCATTTTACGTATCACAATTATCTTGTGCGATAAATTTAACAAGGTAATTTTAGAGTCCACTCTGGAGCTAAAACCAAACACATTCTCAGTTTCTTTATTCTATATAGTTATATACAGAGGGCAGACCAGGGGATTGTGGTCTAGGATACTATGTTGCTATACAGTAACAGGCCATAGCAGATATGCCTCCTATTTACTGCAGTGCCCCTCTCCCAGGCCTTCAAGAAGCCCATCCCCCTGGTACTGTACTTAGCACTACTTAGTATCTTAACACTGTGCACATTTTCTCCCTCCAATCCAGGCTCTTTGCCCCATTCCAAGGGCATGCCTACTCTTACCATGCTTTTCAAGTTCTGGTCCTCAAACATTAACCTTAGACAAAAAGATGCCTTCGGCATACCAAGCTCTTTGGTTCAGTCTGATTCTGCAATGAGATTGGGGAGGGAGGGGCGGGGAGAATTACAGTATCATCATTAAGGGCTTCTGACACTACTGCTACTCTTTGACAAAGTAACTCCACTCTTGTTTTATTGCCATGGCAAAACACTATTAGGCTGAGCAAAACCAGAAGCCTATATAGAAGTTAGGGCTCCCAGAGTCTCAAAGTACATCACAAATCTTTACTATTTGGCAATTAACTGTAAAAAGCTACTGTTCTCTGAACCTGATGGAAAAATCAGTTAAAAAAAAAAAAAAAAAAAAAATCAGCTTCTAGACCTCAGCATTGCTTCTACTCATCTACTCAACTGACCCACTTCTTGCTTAGACACCCAGGGTATGGACAAACATACATTTTAGCAGCTTTAAAAGGCTTGGAGAACACACAACAGATGCTGCAATGTAACCGTTAACATCCTGTAGGTAATGCATGTTAATGGAAGCACCAATGCTTTGACCCTGGATGAAGCAGGGTCAGGGGCAGATCTGGGAGGAGGGAAGAGTGGTCACACCCCCTTCTGCTGCTATTGTCACTGTCTCCAGCTGAGCCCAGCACTCCAGGAATTCTCTCCCTGAAGCTGGAGCCTTTGGGCCAGTGGGGGACATCCAAAGGACTGGGCAGGAACAGACACAGGGAGTGGGAGAGCCATCCACTGCTATTGCTGTCCCTGGCTGATCAAGGTGTGTGAGGAGGGGGGAAGCCCCAGAGCCATGCCTGCCCCACTCCAGCTACAGACTGCTGCTCTGCAGGAGACTGGGCTACCAGAGAACAGTGTCAGGGATGCACAGGTTTCTTCTTCCTTCCACTCCTCCCCACCCCCACCCTCCCAGTGTCCCTGCTGCTTAGGAACAGATGCAGGAGGAGGAACCCACTGCTGCCACTGTCCCTGTTTGATGCAGATGTGGGGTGAACCCCAGAGCTGCTCCTGCTCTGTTGCAGCCACGGGCCACATGGAGCAGCTCCAGAGTGTGCCGGGCTTGGCCAGGGACAGTGGCAATAGAAGGAATGGGTTCCTCCTCCCATATTTGCTCCCAGCTGATGGGAAGACATCCAGGGTGGGGGTAAGCAAGGAACAAATGCAAGAGGGAAGAAACCACCCATTGCCACTGCTGTCCACAGCCAAGCCCAGCACTCTGTCTAGCGAAACCTCTGCCCATCAGATCCCATGAGGTAAGAGGAGCAGCTCTAGGGTTCCCCTGTCCCTGCATCTGCTCCCTGCCCCACTCCCAGTGTCCCCTGATGACCCAGAGGCTTAAACCTGCTCCCCATCCTCCACCATGGTCTGAGCAATGTGCAGCACCCCACTTTACCAAATTCTAGATCCACTCATGAGCCTGGTTAATGTTGGAATGGTTTTACTACACTTATCTGTACAAGGATGGCCATCCTGCAGCATGCTTCTCACAAGTGGTGTGGGCAGACTGTGTAGCACACCACAGACTGGGGAGTGGGCAGGCAGCAGAAAGCAGAGCAGCAGACTGGAATGGGGGAAAGGGATGGGCATGGGGCCTGCCAAAAAGGTTGGGCTTCCCTGCTCTACAGAAGCATGCAGTTATAACAGTTCCATCATAACAGCTTGCATTAGTGTCTTTTGAAATAGTTACAACTGTTGTCAGTCTATACCAGTAGGGGCCAACCTCATTGGCAAGCATGGCACAGATTACATCCAAAGTATAAGATTGTGTCACTAATAATCAGTCTTCGGTGTTGCCCAGTGTCACCTGTGGCGATTGGGATTTGACAACGAAGTCAGTGGCACCTACCCACACTGTTGCTGCCAAATGCCCCAGTCAGCATTGAGCCCTGACTCTCACTCCTTCCTTCTCATCCTCCCCAATCTGCCACATGCCAAACACACATGCTGGTTGCCCATAGCACTTGTGGCATGCATGTCACAAGTTGGCCACCACTGGTCTATGCTGTTGAGTTTATGTTATGGGGGCTGCTTCTTTATTTATGGCAGCAGTGTTAATAGCAGCCATGTCCACTGCTTTGGACACAGCCATAGCACCAGGAATTTTTCTGTAACCAAAGTTGCACCATTTTCCTCAAACAGCTCTGCAGGCACAAGCCCACCTTCTGCTGGCTGGGCTGCATCCACACCAGGAGTTCTGCTGGCTAGGAGTGCAAAAAACCCCAAAACTTCGTAATGTAGACAAGGGGTTAGCCCATGCTTCCTTACCCAAATGTCTTGTTCTAGGAACTTGGGCTCAGAAAGTAATGAGGTTAGCACATTCTGTCCACCTCATCCCTTCATCTACTGGGAAAGCTTTCCGCCCCCTCTACACAGGAAAAAGCTTGTTAACATTTGTTGGAGCTGAAATTAGCTTGTAGACATCCACATCTTATAGATCAAAGGGGCTTTTCTCTTATTTACATTGATAAGACAGGCTTGCAATCCACAATTAGCCATTTATGCTATAAGCCTAGATGTAAACACTTTGAAGAGATTGATGAAAATTACTAACTGCTAGAGTGGTTAGATGGTGCCAGCCTTCTGTGTCCCTTCAATAATGCCATCTCTTTTTAGGGTAAATCACATGTGAAGGTAGCCCTTGAATGTTCCTGTCCCAGACAGCTAAAGACCTAGGATAGCAAAATGGATAAAAATTGCAAGACACTGCATTGCAAAGAGCTTGAAAACCATTTGCTGACTTGTCCAGAATAAAGTGAGCATTAATGGTGTGGGGCAAGTCTGAGAGACATTTAGTTTGCACTCGTGTTCAAAAACATACTGTAAAATAGTATGCATATAGAAAGCATTACCAGTATCACAGTATTCGACGTCAGAGAAATCAGAATCACATGAGACATTCCTTCCTTAAGGCTGTCCATTGGGTTATGTTCAAGATGATCCCAAGGGAGCCATTTTCATTAGCCTACAGTAACTTTCTAATCCTATTCCTTGAATCTCAGACCACCACTACTCAAAGAATTTACGACTTGCTGCCTGCACACTGAATACAGCTCACACTTTGCTCTTTTCTTCAAGGAGTTGGGATTATCACAGCTGCTCCATGCAGCAGCTGATCCTCTTAAGACAGAAGTCGTCTGTTCTTCAGGTCAGTTATTTCTGCTCCAATTGATTCTCACTGCATATATGAAATGTTTTTTTTAAAAGATAAATCCAAACCAAGATCCTGACAGACTCCAAAACCTAGAATCCGAGAATTTGGACCGACTCTACATAGGTAGAGGCACTGAGCACAAACATTTCTTGTGAAGTTTCACTTAACTCCCAACAATTTCCTACAGTTCCCAATAGCTTGCAAACTCCAAGCTTTACCTCCAGTCTTTTGACAATTCATGATGAGGAATTCCAGGTAGCATACTTTACCTTCTTTCCATTTCAACAGTCAAGTCCCAAAGGCTTGACTTGGTTTGTTTTGTGTGTATACCTCACCATAAGAAACATGAGTGACTGGTGCCTCCCAAATCTGGGGCAGCACCAGCAGAAGCCTCTGATGGTGGTAGCCCCATCGACCCTCGTGGGGGTGAGGCCCCTTGGGGGGGGGGGGGGAGAATCAGCCCTGCAGACGGCATCAGTGTCAGTCATTGGGGGTGGGCACAGGCCCCGTCAGGGGGGGAAAATGTGCACCCCCATGCATCCCCTTCCAGTCGTTGAAAAGAACTACTTTCACCTAACTAATGAACAGAGTCTTAAGTGTCCTGTGATCTCTTTAGAAAAGTTTGAATCTCCAGATGAGTCTCAATTTCACAGCATCAGGAAACTGAGTGCCAACGCACTGAACCAGAACACTAGAGGCTAGCAGGAGTTACAGACAACAATGCTAACATCAGGGTTATTTTAGATTAGAGTACTTCAAAATCAATTTTGGATTCAAACTTTTAAATGCACTCTCCAGAGCACAGCGAAAGAATCTGCACTCAGTGGATATTTTCAGGGCTAATTTTGTAAGCTTGGGTGGAACTCAATTCTTATCTAAGGAAAGGATGCAACTAACCTTTGTGACTGAAGTACCGAGGCTGGGTCACACACGGAAAATTATGCAGACACCATCAATCCTAAAAAGGAACAATACACTTAAGGCGTTGCTCATTAAAACCAGACACAGAAAGGCACTGCAAGTATTTTTGGAAGCTTGTCTTAATGGAACATAAATGCTGCCAAGACTATTAAAATCACATTGTCACCTTTACTCATGTAGGGAAGTACCTTACTCCATAAGCAACACCCATTTTACCCACAGAATAAAGGAAATGCTTCTCTTGATCTAGGGGAGCTAAATCCATCCCTGAGCAAAGTATTCTTACTGTCCAAAGACAAACAGACTCTGGCCTGTAGAAATTCAGCTGCAGGACTGACAATTCTGTAAAATTAAACATAGAACCAAAGTTCTACAGAAAGGCAGTTATTGTTATGAGGGAAGGGAATTTGTAAGACACAGATGGGGAACTAAGGTCAAAGTTCAACCCTAAAGCAATTAAGATGGGTAAATTTGCTCTGCAACTTGACACAAGTTTGCTTTGCATTCAGAACTTTTCACCAGCATTAAGCATCTTAACTTGTGTATAGAGAGATTATAATTAAAACCTGTCAAGCCTAAATTAGTGATTCATAAAAGGTTCACTAGAAAGCTTTTAAACCAGACTAAATGTCTCTATTAAAATGGAAGAAAGAAAGAAAAAAAAAGAAAGAAAAAAAAAAATCAGCTGTTTTCAGTTGCAATAGTTTTTCTTAACTAGATAGCTGGAGAGATTAGACAAGTTTAAAATCAAAGTTCTGTGAATATCTGAAGCCACTTAAAGGCAAAGAGTGTGGCAATTAGAAAAAACCTTTTAAAAACATTTAACAGCCTACAATCCTTTGGATGAACATAAGCACTCCAGAAATCCTATAAAAAGATCCTAAATTCCCTTCAGAATTTAGAGCACTCCCTGAAGTGCTCTATTATGTTCCCCCCGGGATAGGTGGAATTATGTCAATCTGCAACAAGAAGCTGGGCAGTTACCATGAGAAGCATCTAGCTAGCTTTCAGAGTCCCAGGCTGATTAGAATAGGCTACAGTGCATACCCTATGCTGGCTACTCAGGTTAATTTCAATGTCTTCCTATTACCCATACATTCCTCATGAATTAAAAGACATGTAATAAAAAGTAACCCTGTTCTTTCAGAACAAGAAAAAAAAAAAAACAAAAAAACTTATCCATCAAATGTCAAATGGCACCACAAACTAAATCAGGAAATGTCTCTCAAAAAACCCCAAACAAACAAAACTCCTGCAAAACCCAGCCACAGATATTTTGAGGATTTCAAATTCATGGATTATAACCAGGCTTGTGAAAACAAGAGTCATTTCAAGGACAGGGCTGATGCAAAGTCCAGTTTACTACTTCCAAGTCATAACGGGCCAGGGACAGACATTACACAAACTGGTTTAAGTGATCAGAAACTGGTTTAAACCTGTAACACAACATAAGTTCAGTACACATAAATGTAGTATCAGACTTAATTGATTTGGGTCAAGCCATTACCCCTCTTCCTGGTTTAAGTTAAACCAGAGTCTCCCAGCATCCCAGATGCTTTGCAGCCCTGGGCAGGGCTGTCTGCTCCAGAGAACAGGGCTGGCCCCTCCCTTCTGCTTCCTAGCCAGAGCTCTGGCAGCAACTGCAGGCACAGCCAGGTCTGCCTGGCTTCCCCCTGCCTTACCCCACCCTCACTATTCAAGCAGGGATCCCCCCCCCCCTCCCACAACATGGATCCCAGCCCCAAGGACCCTAGCCAGTTTGTGGTATGCTAGATAATGTTGAGAGGTGTCTGTGTGTGTGCACGCCTCTCCAGTTTCACTGGGATAGGACAAAGGCATATAGAACAGTGTCTGCTTAGGGCTTTCTGGAGCCAATCAACAGGTAGCTGGTAATGTCCCTCCATTCCTTCCTTGGAAAAAGCTGTCTAAGAAGAGCTTGAACTGATGAGAGGCTTTTGTTTTCTTGATGGGCTGCTAAACACTGTGTTATCAGCTTCCTGCTGGCTCTCTTACCCGTTAGATTTGCAGACAGTATGAAGAAGCAGGGAGAGGGAGATTGAAAAGCTCAGTATCATCAACAGATGCATATACTGCACACCTGCCCTTTGCCCCAGTGCTAGCCAAGAATTGGGGTCTGGCAACACTCCTGCCCCTTGAGCAGCGAGTGGAGAAAAGTCTGGGATGGTGTAGGAAGGGTGGGGATTTACACCTCTTCCTAATCAAAGCATCCTCCGGTGGGAGCTCAGCATTGTGGAATCCTCAGTCCAGAGGGAATGTCTGTGCAGTTGCAGACTTGTTCAACCTAGTCAGGTTAGCCTAAGCTCTAAAGACTGAACCAATTTAAGCTCAAGCTTTTTGAATGTCTGTCCCTAGCTACAACGTTTCTTCCCCAACCACTTGAATAAAATAAATTTAATGATTGGCAAATACACACTTATTGGACACAACTAATGCAAAAGCGATCATGGTTCTCCTGCACTGCTCCACAATTGTGACAATTCTTTCTTCCTGATTTTGGAGATCAAGACGACAATTCAGGGTCTTAACAAGTAATAAGTTTCACCACATTTTTCAACTACAGACAAAATGCTTACATGGTAGGGCAACAAGTTCTGAACTACCTCACACTACACCCATGACTAACTGCCTAAGACAGTCAATTTAAGAACAACTGTGTTTTTTGAAGCTAGGGAATCGATGTTCCTATACGAGGAATTCACTGTCAACAGGCATTTGACTGATATTTTTATACAGCAAGATATGTCAGTAAAGTAGCAAGTTCTTTTCCAGTTGTTACCCATTGTGGGACTATTTATCAGGAAAAAACAGTTGATCCTAGAATCATATGGTCAGATAAAAATGGAGTACCAAGCTCCAGCAGAGAATGGCATGAGTGCCATGGGCAAGTGCTGTACAAGTTCCGGTACAGTCAAGTGTGGGGTAGCTCTTTGAAAGGAAAAAAAAGCCTTAACCTGTTCCTGGAAAAAAAAAAAAAAAAATCAAATCAAGCTGTAGCAACTGTGCTCTCCCTAAACTTACCCCACTTATCTATAGCCTACATTCATTGCTTCACCATGCAAAACATAATCCCCTTTCCAATCCACCTCAGCTCAGTTGCACTCTACGTGGTACCTCTTTTCAGAGGAGCGCTTAAATTACCTGCAGCACTGGGATTTAAAAAAAGTTACTCTAAAGCAAGCTGGAACCTGCTAAGGCAACTGCTTATGAAAAATAGTTAGTTACTTAAAAAAAAATGCAGCAATAAGTCTGCCAACCACATTTTAGGTGTTAAATTAAGATGTCTATACTCTCATTATTTCACTTCAATCTCAACACTATCACAATTGTCCCCGTTTCCAGTTTGCATTGATGAGTATCCAGAGAGGAAACAAATCTCTGCTCTTTATCCACTAGATCAACAGATTTAAAATCATAATCTTCAAATTTAAGGATGTTTTTGCTTTTTTGTTTGTGGGTAGGGGGGAGAGGAATTGACTAAAATGCCATGTAGTAACTTACATTCTAGTCTGTATGCAACACCACTGTTTTGAGAAGTAAAAATGGTGAAAATAAGGACTTGAAATCTGCTCCTCTTATTTCAAGGAAGCTGAAGTCAAAATGTTAAAAGTCTATTTTTTGCGGAAGTTACTGGAAATTTTGCAGGAATTCAGTGTGCGTTCTACCCTTTGGCAAACATAAGAACATTTTAAATCACCTTTGTGTGCAGCAAATTCTATGCTAATCCATACACCCTAATTCAGCCTCAAACCCAAATCAGAGTTTAAATCTTGCCTGGATCTCAGGCCACAGACTTTTCAGTCCAAGCATAATGAGCAATGTCTGCTGAGCTGCGGTAGCTCACAATGTAAAATGCATCCTAGGACAGGAAGTCAGGAAAGACAGGGTTTATTCTCAGCTCTGCCACTGACCCACTGTGCAATTTTGGGTGAGTCACTTCAGCTCAGTATGTTTTTTCTTTTCTCCCCCCCCCCCCCCCCCCAACTATTCAGTTACAAACTTCTGTGGAATGCACATTTACAGGAGTAGAATGGAAGCCCTCCACTCGGCCTCCATATACTACTGTAATACATATAAAAACTTAGTGGCAGATGCCAAGACTTTGACAGTAGAAGAAACTGCGTCTAATGTTCAAAGGTTATAGCCCACAGCCGCTTTAAAACTGACAGACTGATCTACTGAAAAATGATAAACCGGTAATTTCGTATGATAGTACCAAGGAAATGAAACACCGCAAAAAAACTAACAAACTAACTAAAAAAACCCTTAACTTTCACCCTTGACTCTGTTTGGGTTTTTCGTTTCAGCACTGTTTTTAGGTGCTAACTTATCTGAAACTTTGTCCATGGATGGTTTTCACAAGGGAGGCAAGCAAGTTATATTGATAGAAAGCCACTTGGCCGAAAGAGCACTGAAAAAATACTATGAATAAAGCAAGACTGAATTTCAGTCATTGCCAGAATGAAGCAAGGCTGACAGGTGGAACACAGCAAAATATGTATTAACATCCCCAGGTTATCAAGAACTTCCTCCTCTTCTAATTGTGCTGTACAATCTCCAGTGTCTGCACGAAGCTGACAAAACATCATTTTAACATCTCACCCCAAAAAGCAGAAATGACACGTTCTCTACCACAGAGGTCAAGGACTCAGGTCAGCTCTCCTGAGATTTGAATTTGTGGTTCCAGAGTCTGAAAGTATCGAACCTGACATTTATATCAGTAGCAACTCCCAAGGCAAATGGAGTTTCTCATTTCTTCAGTTTCTTTTGTCAAAATGCACTTGCACTATAATATATAAACCCGCACAGACAATCCAGCTATACCCTGTTCTTTGTGCCATTATTCAGTTTTTTCTTTGGGGAGAGATTTTCATTGGGGGTAGAGGAGAGAAAACGGGGCGGTGAGGAAAACTTGACTTTGTGTTAACATATAGTTATGTTAATGGCATCTCTGGAAATCCTGTTCTTGTCCCATAACGTAAGAAAATGGTGAGCCTAAGCCCAAAAATAACATTACAT